ATGGGAAACTTGGACATCTTTGTGTTTCGTTGCCAAAAATTGTGTTTAGTTTTGTGAGGTTAACACAAACACAGGAAGAACCATCGACCAACGGGAAACTACTGGCAAGCTCTCTCACATCGGTTGAGTCGAGATTGGAACCCAATAGGCGTACCTTACTGCCGTTCCCTCTTTCCAAGCAACAATCATAGCCTTAGTCTGTCTCCTGTTCTAAGACAATTATCCGACCCTTTGCAATTTCACGAAGACACTACCTCATTAACTTGCGACTACGGAGTAACCTTAATCTTCTCTCAAGAAATATCTGACTAAAGGATTTTCCAAAAGTTTCCTAAATTGTTTCTCAAAACCCAGGAGTCTGCAGTTTTATCAATAAAATGGGCTACTTCCTCACATGGTTCACGTTCACAGGGTTTGTGACCGTAATGGTGATAATAAAGGTTAATACGCCTGATTAAATTCATGCAATGGTCGTCCGAGAGTGATGAGAAGAAACGTTACCGTTTTTTTAAAAATGGATATTTGTAGTTTTTCAGTCTTCGTGCGAATCTGAAGGGGATAAAAAACGCGTGAGAAAATTCTAATCGAACGGAGGGTAGAGGTCGATTTGCATTCCTCTATTATTGTATAATACCGTTAAGGTGATTTCATCTAGTCAGAAATTTCGTCGTGCTTTATTGATAAAACTGCAGACTTCGATGCTCAAAGTGTACTCTCTTAATTTTCCGTCGCCTATCAGAAATAACTGTTTCTAAAATTTTCCCTCCAGATCAAGTGTCCGTCGTCGATTTCACTAGCCTAAAACGTTCCACAATTAGCTTCCTTTGACAAATCGATTATTTGACGTTTGTCCCTTTTGAACTGCTACGGGACAGAATATAATTACGCGTACCATAAGAGATGACCAGGTCAGTTTCAAATGAGGCTTAACGTAGTTCCTTTTATATTTAGAGATGAAATAAAGAAATAAACATTGAACTTCCTCCAGACCTTTCTCCTTCGTTTATATTAGCTTGAAAGCACAAATTATTTAACCTTATGTTTCAAGTTTCGAAATTCGACAAATCATACACAGATTCATAAAGAGGAATTGTTTTATAAGTTCACACCTGGAAAAAAGACAATGTTTCGTGACAAAGTCACGTGTAATGCATCCTATGATAGTGTGAAGTGATTTCACGTAGTAAACAAGATTGTGTATGCAATAGCCGCTGTAATGGTGTTTTCAATGTGTTTCTCTAGACATTGCTGAAGAAGCCCAAGTTTCTTCCGAGTGACATATTTCGGCAGAATATCAGACTGTTTAATCCATACGCTGTTCGTTTCACTCCATATATAATTATTTCCTGTCAAGAAGGATTATCTCCAGTTCTCAAACGTTTTTTCAAAACTTTCCTGGAGATAGATACTTCGAGTGTATTAGGGGATTTGATGTGTTTAAACTTCGTATGTGCGCCAAATTTACAGCTAAATGTGCATATAATTATCGATCTTTTACTGTCCTGTATGGGTGCAACAATGGTTTCATCAGGTGTCCTTTTCTTTAATAGTCCCAATAAGCCTCCTTTTCATAATATGTCTGAGGTATTGTGGCTTTTTCCCTTTTCGTTCCGAGCTAAAACACCAAGAAAGTGTGACTTGATCTTCAGAAATAAAAGTTCACTTCAATTACGGCTTCATTTTCCCATCAAATATGTATTTTATTATTTTGATGTCCTTAATGATTGTGGGATGTCCGTTATAACTTCCTATCACTGATATAATTCTGTTTCAAAGAATATTTATTGTTCCGTTTCTTTCTGTTTAATTTGTGAGTATCCTCAGTATGAGAGAGGTATTTGCAGGGCAGATAGGGTGGTTGAGTGTTCATCCGGGGATATATCACTTTGGCCCGTGCCGAGAAACACTTTTTAACTTTATAAAAGAAAGAGTTTGTTTGAACGACAACTAGGAGAGGCCTGGGTGTTTCTTACCCCATGCTCCGTGATCGCTCTTTACTGCCCTGGGTATTTGTACACTGTAAAATCTCATAGCCTGTCCAGATTGCTTCATAATAAAAAATGTATAAAACAATCTTTGTGTGAATTATTTGATTGCAGTAGCTACTAGTCTTTGATCGCGAGACACAAACGTATATATTGACATTTTGTCTTTATTTTTATGCTTTCAATAGACACAATCAAGTTCGAGATACCAAACATTCTATGCAAGGTCCATTTATGAAATTTAAATTGCAAAATGTCCCACATGTCAGAAAGCTGAGAATGTGATGTGTTCAGTACTTTTTTTCATATCCTCTATTAAAATAGATTTGTTAATCTTTAAATTTATTTCACAGTGGTAAAATAATCAATTTTATGGCCCGTTTCAATCCAATTAATATCGCGGCGTTTGGATAGAATAAATCACAATATAATTCCAAATTGAAAATCACATGCTGAGTGGAATCTATTTATTTCTTTTATTTGCGTTAAGAATAGTCAGCGGTTAATGACTAATTGGTGTGCACACTTTCTTTTTAAATCCTTTCAATTGGTATTTTTCAGGAATTCCAACAAACTGGTAAAAACCTCAATAACGGTTCAATTAAATACCATGTAAGCAGATTCTAATAATAGACAACTGATATCACTGCTGACAGAATCGCAAAATAATCCAATGTTTTTCCGATAACTTTTGTGTCCAAAATGCTTACCACCTGTTGGGCACAAACAACGAATTCAATTACCACATAACGTAACTTTAATGTTTGGCCAAATTACTACAGCAATATTTGCAAATCACGCTTGCATCTTGTGAATGGTCTATCGAAGAGAAAACTTTGCAACGATTCAAATGATATGATGTGCGCATCAATTTTTAAAAAATAAAAACAATATCTGTTGCTGCCTGATATATCCAGTAACACCTGTGCGGTGACAGCGATAATTAAAATGGTTTTAAGTTCAAGCTATATATGTGTACAGTTTACCCATACTCAAGCTTCATCTCAACAATTTAGTAAATTGTTTCACCTGTTACTATTTTCAGCAACGACCTTTACTCTTTTAGATTCGATATTTAATTTGCATCCACGCACAGGATGGTTCCATAGCTCATATAAAATTAGTCTGTGCATGAGTCATAGTTCCACTGATTCTATCTGTTTTAACGGTACTAATTGTATAGCCCTAAGGTGGGCGGAGCTCAAGGTGTAGGGAACATTGTATTCAGAAATAAACCACTAAACTAGCTCTGTTTGCCGCATTATGTAAGAGTTTTACTTTCTGTTAGGCTTAAAAAGGTTGAGCTCTTGGTAACATATGAGACTATTTGAATTTATATCTAGATCACATTTTGTATTTTTAAGATTTTTGTTTTTAAAATGTGGTACATGACTGAACATGTGTCAGGTGTAACTATATAACTCTTACCCCTGTCTAGTTCCAGCAGAGTTATCTCTTTTAAATGCAATGGAGTACCTGGTTCTGTCCTTGTCAAATTGACAATATAACATTGTTCTCTGTGACAGTAGGTGACATGCATGTTCAGGTAGGATAGAAAGTATATTTATTTCACAAAACATTAGCATTGAGGTCTATGGAAAGACAGTTGGTACTGTGATACCATCTACAGGCTTCTGCCTCTTTGATGCCACTCTGTTAAGAGCTCATAGTAGTCATTTGTATATATTAAAGTTTTTGATAGAACACGGCGTCACATCTTATGTTTTAACACAATAACACAACACCTTGAAATCTCCTGCAACGGCAGTTTTCTCGTAGCTATTGTTTTGAAGATGTCGAGGAATTAAATTCAATTTGGGAGTCTGCTGAAATTATAAATTGATAACATTTCCCATGAAAGAATCAAAGGTTCCTTTTAAAACTTCTAATATATCCAAAAAGAAGTGTTTAATTCCTATGTGAATATGTACAGTTTCTTAAGCTAAATGAATTTCAACAGACATTGCAACACAACTCTGACAAACGGAAGGAAGACAGAGGTCTTGACATGCATCAAAAGTCGGCCGTTTTGTTGTGTTCCCACATCAAAGACGGGATGGTTCAGTTCTAAATAAACTCGTCGGGTAATATAAAGGCTGAAGGTAATCGGATTCTGGATTCTGCGTCTGTCGTCCTTAGAGCAAAGGGCTTAGAGAAAACTGATCAAGATAATCGTGAGGTTATTTTTCTAATGCGTAGGCTAGAGGTGAATTGCCTGAAACGATTCCGTAGGTGATTAAAGGAATAATTATGTTATCTTGCACGCATAGGTAATCGCCAGGGCTGGATAAGAATTATCGGGCGCCGATACCAGCGTCTGGAAAAGCAAAGTGCGATCAACAAGAGGGAACGTTCAGTACCAAACTCTAAAATATTTTAATGCACGACTCTTAACACGTCTCATACTAATTGGTAGCAGTTTTGGGATACGAATAAGAAGCTCATATAATTTTTTTTTGGACATGGCGTACAGGATTTTTACACGATGAATAAATTGTAACACCACCTGATTCAGAGTGCCAAGTGTCAAGAATAGAGATGTGGTTGCGGAGCTTGCTATAATTGATACATCTTTCAATGACCATTTTGGGATGGTGGATGAAAATTTACCTAAGAGGAGCACGCGACCTTCAAATGGGGAAATCATCCAGATTGTGATTTGGCTAGCGACAAAGGTCGAAAATAGACTGAGTAAGCGTATTGATGACAAGTTAGAAGCAACTCTTTGCGATCTTCATGATAGTATTGCACAGTCAGCAACTAGCTCAAAAAATGTGTGTGTGATTTAGATTTTTAAAGTAGCTTTAACAATTTTTCAGTCATATCGCTACGATATCTGCGGTGTGACAGTTCATTGTGATGTCTTGCACTGGGGCATCATGTCGCAGATATGTGGCATGATGTCCAACCTAGTCACATTATCCCGACACAAGCCAACCAGTCTTAAAACAAACTTAATGCTGAACGTACGTCAAGCGAGGCAACTGTTAGTACCATTTTTGTAAGTCTTTGGTATGACTTGGTCGGGGTTAGAACCCTTGACTTTCCGCATCCGAGGCGGACGCTATAACCACTAGACCAACTGAGCAGTTTACAAGAAATGTTTGAACGCAAGTAAAAAAAGAAACAAGGAACCATGCACCGAGTTGCTTGTGCATGAAACGCATGCATCAGGTAAAACGCCGTGCGTTGATGCACAGCCTCAGGAGTCTCATACATCTGGAGTACATGCACTGTCTCTTTATATCTATTACTACATAGCATGTTAATATTCTACAAGAGAGCAAAAAGGAAGGTGAGGATTCCTTGGTGAAAAATCAGATTATAACACTTCCATAGTCTTTGCCGTGCCTCGTTCCCCACCAAAGAAAAGAAATTGCTCAAACTTAACGTTGGAGCCCATCAAATACAAGCATAACTTGCTTCCGGGTACCCATGCAATAAGTAGCATGCATGACGCAAGTTCTATGCGAGCTCGCGATAATTTGATAAATCTTACAAGTCGGAAGAAATCATGTCTATCAAACCTGCAGTATTTGGTGGGATTGCATCCTGGCTATATTATAAGTCATATTTCTAGGCACTTTCCCACCTTAATGGTTGGAGCATCGAACAAAATGTCACGTATCTCCCAAAGATTGGTGTCGCCATGGATTATAGGTCTAGACTTTATATAGGAAAATTGTACGTCAATATATATTGCCGGGTGGTTTATGTAACAATGGCGACAAGTGGCTGTCAATCTCGTGCAGCATAGAATTGAAATTGTCACACCAGCATTATGCTGTGTCGATGATTACAATTTCGTTAATAAAGCCGGAATTTCACATGGTTTTCCAACACCAATCACTGCAAGGCAATCCAACGCACTCAAGGAAGATTTCGTGGGTGACCAAAAAAGACTATCAATCAATATAGGCGAACATGAACCTACACTCAGTTTTGTTATGTCGATCGAATCTCCACAGTACATAGTTGACCTCAAACAATCGTCGCTAAAACCAGTATTCAGTTAACAAAAAATCACAAGACTCACGCAGACCAACGATATTTGAGCGCTAGACCAGACAGTGATAGTTATATCACGCCATACATTGTTAGGATCACCTCAACGATTCACGAAAAATTACACTTCTATCAACAATAACAATGCCGGCCCCAGTTAGCAAAATGAATCATCTCAAAACGTCTGGCACAAGCCAGTTCAGAATTGATGATTTCAAATCTGAAAATGTGGAGCGGATATACGGTTGTTCTTCAAATGTATTAGATAGACAAAACCAATAACTTATAAACGATGACTCAAAAATAAAGATGCAACAATCCCATTGTAGACACTATCGTCGGGTTATATTTGGTGCCTAACACACATTCACGTTAAACAGGAATGGTAACGCCTATTATGCAATTAGGCCTGATGGTGCCGTCTACAACAGTAAAGCTGTTATTAAAACTTGCGAAGTCCAAGAAATATATTGAATCCGTTCAACCAGATTATACCAGATATGAAATACAGTCAGATATTGTCCAGCTTTAAAATATAAACTAGGATGATCCACAGCCTATTATTAAATGTACTTAGTCAATCATGCTAACATTCGATGATGTGAAGGAAAAATATCATTGACAAATAAAACAATATCAGTAATAAAAGATAATTTTTTACAGCTATTCAATAAACTCGTAATACTTTCAACAATTTCAGTAGTATCTGGTAGCGTTAGAACTCGTAGGGTACATTATGGAACAAAGATATGGAAACAAAGGAAAACATATGACAGAAGACATGGTAAGTAAAATCTAAAATCTTAGAATGTTATATTTTAATGGGCTTGTATGAGACCACAGTTATCTATCAAGTCTCCCGACCCATGAACCCCTGGAAATGTATTTAACAAGCGAAGGCTCCTCGTGGAAGGACGTGTATGTAACATATCCCAGGTGGGGAAAATTATGGGGAACTTTTAGGAGGTTCATGGGTTGGGAGACCTGATAGGTAAGTGAGAAAATGTTATTATGATACTGTTTTTGACGTTGATGTCATCTCTTAGTTGGGTCATTTGTGGCATGTCACTGTAGTAAATCAATTGATGGACGTTTGAATGACTGCCTACTTTTATAGGCTAAATCACTCTCCTACCATTTAAAAAATAAATGAATAACCAAACAAGCAATTCAATAAATGAATAAATAAACAAATTTTGCCCTAGCCTTGATTGTATATATTTTTGGAACCATATAATCTTGCTTGAAATCAAATACCTCAACGCCATGGAATATAACTACATTACAATTCAAGTATTATATTATTTATTGGAAACGCAGAGATCGGCATAGACTCCGATTAGCCGTCACATATCTAGGTTTGCTCATCTCGATTAAATGTATAAGATAAAAGAGCTAGATAAACCTTAAATGTTACATTGCAATTACATAATATAAATTACATTACAATTCAAGTATTACATTATTTATTTTAAACGCTGAAATTGGCTTAGATCCCGATTTGCCGTCACATATCTAGGTTTGCTCATCTCGATTGAAATGTATGAGTTAAACGAACTAGATAAACCTTAATGTTAAAGTACAGTATCCGACGGCAGATGTGTGTGTATGATGCTGACAGTTTTTCACGCACATTAACATGGAAAAGAAGTTATGATATTTGCCTACATTCTCGACAGTTTGCACCCCCACCTCCTCAGTTCAAAAAATGACTGACAACAACGATGACACACAAACCTTAGTACTTTCATTCATCAGTTTATAATTCCTAACCTGATCGTCGCCAGGTGGCTTGTAACATTGTCATCTTGTTCGAGTTTCAAATTAGACGGAAGCTGACGATGTAAATATGCAGACATAATGCTCTCTGTCCTTTTCCGGTTAATAAAACATTCAATTTTCATTTTTAAAACAACATGTGTCATCTGCATGCAATATTACAGTATCGAGTTTTAAATACTTCTAATTAACAAAACAACCGAGCAAAATATATTGGTGTACTTCTTACATACACTTGTATAGAGGGAAACATTTTGTAGAACTAATAACAAAAAAGGAAACTATCCACCAACCGATCCAAAAAACATTTACATATAAACACTTTGTCATGATATCGTGCATGCACTGAATATTTGACAACATTAGTATCAATATAGGTATATCGGTATGTAACATTAGTGTCATTATAGACCTATCGGTATGTAACATCGATGTCAATAGTGGCATACCGGCATTTAACATTAATGTTAATAGGCTTACCAACATTTAATATCAATGTCAGTATAGGCCTACCGGTATTTAACATCAATGTCAATATAGGCCTACCGGTATTTAACATCAATGTCAATATAGGCCAACCGATATTTAACATCAATGTCAATAGAACATCACCGTCAATATAGGCCTACCGGTATTTAAATACAAACAGGATTTGGGATTTGAGATTCTGAGTCTAAGTTTGATGGCAGCAAGTTATCATGTTCGATATTGCATGATCATTCGCTCTCTACCATTGGAAAAATTTCTTGCATTCATTTAAATAATTGGTATATCTTGTGAAATTTTGCAGAGAAAACGCAATTCCGTCTATATGGCTAATAAGCTGTGGTTATATCTGATCAACTGCATCTTTTCAGAGAAGATGAAAATAACGGAAACAATACAAAATTATCGAAAAGTAGATAATCTATATTGTAGATGATCACGGGATCGTAATGAAGCATGCTGTTCATCAGTATGTTCAACAGCAGATTGGTTTTACCTTCGCCTGTGGGATCCACGATTATGTAATGGCAACATGGCATAAAAATGATGTTGGTGTTTTTTCTCTTCGAGTTTTGATCAAAACTAATGATATTTATTTTATGCGTTAATCATGTCTTACACTTCTTTTGGAACTTTGATTGGGTCCGGCTCAAGTTCTGATGCGGGCTGTAAAGCTGCTGTGCAGGAGGATCTGAAGTAGAAGACAATCGACCCGGCGACTCCACACAAGGAAACTTCAATGTGAGTGGTCACAGCATTACCAGTTTGGAAGATGTGACTTATCTGCCAACGGATGTTCATGCCGCACGCTGTTTTCAACTGGCTCAAACAAAATTATCCATGTCCGGGGATACCATTACTGGAAATTTTAACATGGGTGGAAAGAATTTATGAGATTGTCCCTAGTTACTGATTGCTCTCCTCAACCCGTGACGGCAGCAGATCTTGAAGTGGCAGTATCTGGAAAAGACGATAATACAGACGAAACTGTGAATGGAATGTCGGTGTCATTTTCTCTGGCAGATCGTATGACGAGCTATTTGGCGATGACGCCTTTCTCCTCTGGATCTACTTCTCAAAATTCCAAGCGTGAGGGAGTCACTACCGAAAGAGCAAAAGCATTATTATACTTCCTACCACATGGCCGATCATTGATAATGCCCAAAGCAATCTCGTATCCACAGGTAACTCGTTTGGAGGAATTAAATTATCGATTACTGGAGGAAAACTCACGGGGACTTTTTGTCGTAACGACAAGAGACAAGTTGGTGGTGATGGATTATCCACCAGTAGACAACAATGAAGTAGCTACAAAAATGTATGTGGACACGCGAGATGTCAGAAACAATACTGGACATATTCCAACGCTCACTGAAAATACGGGAAACCGGTATGGTGCGATCGCATTATAGTTTGTCTTTGGTCATCATGTCCCACCCATGTCCATATGAAACGAGTGGGCGACAGCTGGATTCACGTATAAGTTTTGATTACAAATATAATTACTCGTCGCAGTGGCCCTCTAAAAATTTCGGCTGCGTGGACGCACTTCCAGATAAGAGCACATTCTCACCTAGAGATGATAGGTCAAGCCAGGCACGACAGCCCACATGCTTTACGATAGAACTGCAGATATCGGAGTAAGCACACTGGAAGTTTATTTCGTCGCGACTAGCACGTAAACCAAAAACTCCTCGTTTAAATTTACAGCACTAACAGCATAACCTCTTAATCAAGGGATCTGTTATTTCCAGAGTCTTTCTCTCAATATTCTACTTCTAGATCATTGTGATCTCATTAAAGTATAGTGGTATACAA